TTGACTACTTTTGTTATAGTATCTTACCATTGTTCTTTGCTCAATCCCCTTGTGTGGCAGTCCTTATTAGAATTTCAGCACTCCTTCAGGTTAAATTGCGGTATCTACTCCAGAATGCTTCGCTCTATAACCAGGGACAGTGGTAGGTGGCAGGAAAGCATGCACCCCACCTTTCCTTTGCCTCCTCCCACCAGAGAAAAGGGATCGTATACATAACCCTCTTTATAAGGACATCAGCTGTTGTGTCTCCATCCCATTCACTCACCCCAATGTCCATTGTTCCCCTAACTAACCCAAAGTGGTAAAAATCTGTGGAAGCTAGGTTGATGAAACCAGGGAATACATGGTGCAGTGATCCAGAGGAGATGCTATGAGGGCAGTCAGGTCTGCCTGGCCTGTTTCTGATTGCTATTTCTTCCTCAGTTACAAGTGAGAATCTCCACACTCAAATCTTTCTTTGCTCTCCCACTTGCCTACCTGGAACCTCCAGGCTCAGAAGACAGAGTTCAGTGTTCTCTCCCTCCTGGTGGAATGGATTATCCTCATACTTGGCAACTGGCAGCAAGTAAACATTTGATTTGTCAGACTGGCTATGAATATAATAGAACTTTGTAAGCAAATATATCTGGATGAGTTATAAAAATTAGACTAAATCCTGATAGGTTCACTATAGCACCGATAACAGCCTGTGATTTCATGGAGATGAAGGAAAGTCCTCCTCTTTCTAGTGAGAGTTCTAGGATTTTTCTTTCTTTGGGTTGAGAAATAAGTTTACTTTTTCTGACCTAGGAAAACAAGGTTTAATATGATCAAGTATGAAAGTTAAATTATTCATCCATTCTTGGATAATACCAGTTGAGAATCTGAAAGACTCTTAATTGTCTTGACTCTATATGTCAATTGTTTTACTACCACTTTTAATTTTATTTTTAATAAGGAAAATGGGTCAGAGGAATTTTAAGTGGCACGATCAATGATAGATGTCTGTTGATGGATTATTAGCAAATGTTGTAATTAGGAATTGGAGATGGAAAGAATAACAGGAAGAATGGTGGCTACAAAATGTGTTGCAGACATTGAACACTCAAGGCCAGTTGGCAAGAGGAGTATGGCTACCTTGATCTACCCCACTTCACTCCTATCTGAGATTTTAAAGGAGCAGATATCAGTAATTTTACTTTAGTCTGAATTGATTTCAATATGTTATATTTCTCTGAGTTATCATCTCTGCCATCCTATCCTTCTGTATTACTCATGAATTAAAGTTCAGAGGGTTCTTAAGCATTTTATTAATCAGGGCTTTATAGAGAACAGAACCATTAGGAAACACAAACACACACATACACACACACTTATTATGAGGGATTGGCTCATATGATTATGAAGGCTAAGTAGTACCATAATCTACTCTGTGAAAGCTGGAGGCCCAATGGTATAGTATACATTCAAGCCTAAAGGCCTAAGAACCGAGAGCCAATGGCAAAAGTTTCCATCTAAGTCCTAAGGCCTAAGAATCAGGGAATGAATTGTGAGTCATGGTGTCAGTCTGAAAGCCTGAGAACCAGGAGTGCCAAAGTGTCAGCTCCAGCAGGAAGAGAAGATGGCCCTTCCTGAACCTTTTAGTTGTATTTGGGTTCTCAATGGATTTGATGACACTCACTCACAGGCGTGAGGGTGATCTTCTTTACTCAGTCTACCAATATAGATGCTAATCTTTTCTGGACATGCTCTCATAGACATATCCAGAAATAATATTTTACTAGTTATCAGGGCATTATTAGCCCAGTTAAGATGATGTGTGAAATTCACCATTACAGCACCCCTATCTAGTAACAGAAGAGAGAAGGAATCAGATTCTCAGTGTGCCTGAAATCATGTTGCTTATGTGCTTAGTATTTCATGTTCCCAGGGAAGAAGGAGAGGAGGGAAAAGAAAAAGGAAATCTGACAATCTAAGAAGAACATGGAGAAGAAGAGAACTGAAGAAAAGGAAAACAGGAAGGCTCTGGAGTGATTTATACAGACTTATTATTGAAGAATAAAATAAACCTAATTTAAAGGTATGTCATACCCTTTCTCTTCATTTGTTCATTTTTAGTTACTTAGATCTTGACTTATTCCAAAACAATTTAAGGAAGCATACAAATAAAAACATGTGTGCATAAAACACAAAACATAAAAATAAAATAAACATCTCCCTTTCCAAACAAGCATACTCCTCTGTCCATCTCCTCATAACCTCTTGCACTGGCTTTCCACTAGAATAGCAGCATATAGACTTTATCCCATCCAGAACATCATTTCCTAGGTTTCTGAAAACATATTATGTAATTCGTAGAATATATTTTTGTAAAAGCAACCCTAACAAGAAACAAAACAAACCAAACTAAACAAGCCAAAACAAGTCAAAGGAAATTTTCTTGCTTTGGCAAACATCTCTCTGCTACGAACAAAATTTATATAATGTTACAATATATGATATTGAATAAAAATATTTAGCAAGTCCTGAAGTAACACCACAAGCCTCAAAAGCACTAATACACCTAGAACATTGAGAATAAAGCATTAAAGGAAACTCGGATTAAGCAAAATATGCAATCATTAGCCATCACAGATTCTATTAAAATTGCTGTCCATCATAACAAGTTTGGAAAATAGCAGTAGTGATCATTAGAATTTAATAATTTTAGGATTTTTTTCCTCATGATCTCTTCCTTAATCATAAATTTACCTTGTACCCAGATGCTAGAAATGGCCAAAAACACATCATAAACATTTAAGATTCTGGGCAAAGAGACACAAGTAAAAATAAATATTCCTTTGAAAAGATCTATTTCAAGTGAGAAAAATAGCCACTTTTCATATTATATATATTTAAATAATGTCCTTTTTTGCTTGATAAAAAGGACATCATATTAATTAAATTTGAAGAAATGTTCAAGGTTTCCATTACCAGAAAATCAATTTAAAACCCCAAATTTTCTAAACATTTACGTTTAAATTTAAATAAGAATATTATCTTGATCAACATTATAGTCAACATTTTTCATGGTAAGAAAACACATTTAATTCATGAAACATTCTTCTAGATGATTTTTAAAAAATTTTGGCTCTCTATTAACTTGATCAAAAGTATAGCAAATTAACAAAAATGAATTATATAATCTGTTATTAGGACCCACTTATTGTCAAGCACTTCACTTAATTCATTTTATGTTTATCTCATGCTTATCAGGGTATTACTATGCCAGAAATAAAAGGTAAAAGTGTAATGCAATAAAATAACTGCTAGAGTTGTACAATATAATAGTTATTGAAGAAACACACTTTTGGGGAAGAAAAGATATGCAAGATATAACTTGCATGTTCACTAAGTTATTTTCTAACTGAAAAAATATTAAGCACGAAGAGATTTGGCAATTTCACTCATAGTGAAATATGCTATCTTGTACAATGTGTTTCCTAATATCCTTAAGATTTTTAATTACTAGAAAATAATGGCATGTGGTATGGCTAGGTTCCCTTATATCCAGAGAGAAGTAAAAGTAGGCTGCAAGTTTATAGAAAGTATAATGATGATAGTTTTTTGAGCTTGTTTCTGAAAGAGAAAATTACCAAAAATCCTAATACAAGGAATGTACTAGGAATATTATAGGTATGACATCTAAATGATATACTGCTTCTGTCTAATTAAATACCTAAGTTTTAGGGATAAAGATGAATTCATTTAATGAGTTCATCTCTGAGTAACAGAAATGATACTTTGGATCTTTGAAGGTGGATAACACACACAAAAGATTTATTTTGCTTTTTTATTGTATTTTTTTTTACAAGGGAATAAAGACATTTATTGTCTTTACTCTTTAAATAGAATTCTATTGAATGATGTTCTCAAAATATTGCCTGTTTCAACTTTTATTATAACTTCTCATCTTCTTGTAACTTTTAAGTCTACAGGAAAAGGACTAAATACAAAACCCAACCCCTAATGTTCACTTTTAAGTATAATATTTTGCTATGATTCTAGTCAATAAATAAAAAATGAACCTGAAAAAAAATATATATAAACTCTGTAAGTTATGCCTGCAGGTGAATCCAACTATCAGACATTGTACAAAAATGAATGGATTGTCAATAGTGTTGGTTATTTACCTTGTCTCTCCAACACAAAATCATGACTATGTAATCAAGTTTCCATGAAAACCTACAAGAACAGGGTATGGAGAACTTCTGGATAGCTCAGCATATGGAAATTCCAGGAGAGGGGTGTGCCCAGAGAGATTATGGAAGCCCCTGGCCCCATGAACCTCTTCCATTTGATTGTTTATTTGTATTCTTTGTAATATCCTTTAAAGTAAGTGTGTAAACACAGGAAAAATGATTTGTGGAATTCTGTGTTTTCCTGGCAAAGTGACTCAACCCAAGAAGGGGTCACGGGAACCCTGATGTGTGGCTGTCAGTCAGAAGCACAGGTAAAATAATGTGAAATTTGTGGTTGGCTTCTGAAATGGATGGGACTGAAGTCTCAACCTGTTGAATCTGATGTATTTCCAGGTACATAGTATCAGATCCAAACTGAATTACAGGAAGCCCTTCTGGTGTCTGGTGGAAAATTAGTCAGAATTGTTGTTTAGTGTGTACATAAAAACCTCTGCATATTTTAGTGACCAGAGGTCACAAAGTATTCTGTGTTGGTTATTGTGTGATTATAGGAAAAGCACCTTAGTTTATTTTTCCTATCCACATAGTTACCTTAATTTTAATAAATTTATAGATCATGGTATTCTTATAAGTATTTTTTTGTGGATTGTAAGAATATTTTTCTTTTTAGTTAGAAGTTTCTCCCTAGAGTCAAGGTAAAAATTCTGATAATACACATCAACTATTTTCTGATTTTAGGAAAGTTAAAGATCAACACATTTTGCTAAATCACACAAGTGATAGGAGGCCATTTCACAATAAAAGTGAATTTCCTTGAGAGAGTAAGGTATTAGGACTTACCCCTGTCTGTGTCATACAGGAAGACAAAACAGTTCCATTCATAATGATCCAGCAGACTCAGGAGTGCTCCTCGCAATGAAGGTCTTAGCTGCAGCACAAACTGGCTCTCCCCCTCAGTAGGGAAACTTGGTGTGATGAGGGAGATGTGTAAGGCGCTGCAGAACGAAGTCAAGGTATGTACTGACCTCTTATCATAGAGTCCAAAAATGGCAAATACTCCTCTAGAATACTGGGAACAGACTGGAAAAAAAAAAAAAACAAACACAAAATATTAGCATACTTTAAAATTGTTGACTTTGTATCTACATCCTACAAAATTTAAAAATCACTGAATCATTGAGATGTTAGCAATATAATACAGAGTAAAATTAAAGTGTTCAATTAATTAATTTTTTACTCTTGTACGAAAAACCATGTATTGAATAAAGCTGATCTGATTGAAAAGTCCTCTATTAAAAAGCCCTTTTGAGGGCTGGGGTTGTGGCTCAACGGTAAAGCACTTGCCTAGCACATGTGAGGCCCTGGGTTCCATCCTCAGCACCACATAAAAATGAATAAATAAAAAGCCCTTTTGAATTAAAGGAAAATTTGATTAAAATGAGGTAATATATAGCCTTCTGTTTTAATGTGGCAGATCCTATGGTAGAGATTTTAAGTGTGATAAATCCAAATGTTTCTCTATACTTTTTCTGTTGCCTGAAAAATATAATGAACTTTTGGAATTTTTGAGTATTAATTGAAGAAACCTTTAAATTATCTTCTTCCTAAGCTATATGCTTATCTTCTCTATTCTTGGATTGGGCAACATTTGTTGACAACTAAATTGTTATGTTTTTCTGCTTTTGTAATCAGTTTTACTTTTATCACAACCTTAGAACTGTATCATTTTTGAAAACAGAAGTTGGATTTTTGGGAAAGTCACTCTTAGGATATCTGAGTGGCTTAGTGAATCTGGGCGAACTGCATAGCTATAGCACAAAGACAAAGCAATTCTAAAACCCATTAGACCAAGCCTGCCTGAGGAAGAGAAGCAGAGGCAAAGCAGTGCATGACTTCCCCTGCCTTTCTGCACCCTCTGGTTGTTACAAGGACAATGAGGCAACATCACAGAACAACTCTGCTCTATTCCTGTCCAATATATTTTGCTCACTCTTGACATGGCTGATTTCAGGAACAAACTTGGGTGACTTTTTCTGTTTTTTTTTTTAAAAGGCATAGATCTAAAATAGGGGATCCCTGTTTTTGTGTTCACACAGAAAAGCAAGAATGGATTCCAAATTCTTATAATTCTCCTTGTATGGCTAACTAACACTCATATTTCTCTTCAGTTTATACAGCTAGCTTAAGAAGTGCTATAAAATTTTTGTGTTTGGACTTTAGTTGCTAGTTTTAATTGTTAAATTTATTATGAAGCCTAGAGCATCGGATAAGCTAAAGGTACTTTTTTTAGTGGAAGTTTATTATGATATAAATAAATTTTTCTTAAAACAGGCTCTTGTAAAAATTATCTTAACAGTATTTAAATCTATTTTGTACAGTATTTGGGTTTTAGGAAATTATGAAGCATAATTTTTTTTTATTTTAACATTTTTTTATTGGTTGTTCACAACATTACAAAGCTCTTGACATATCATATTTCATACATTAGATTGAAGTGGGTTATGAACTCCCAATTTTACCCCAAATGCAGATTGCAAAATCACGTCGGTTATACATAATTAAATGCAGATAATTTACTAAAACCTAGAGATTTTTCTTTCATTCTTATTTATCATGCCTCTTGAAATTGCAGAAAGAGTCTAAGCATTCTAATTATGACATGTATTATAAATGTTATTTATATTTTGGAAAAACTGAAGCCCACATAAAGGACCCAAGTCTATATTCAACTGGACAAGAAAAGGAAGAATTGACATTAAGATGGAGAAGAAGAAAATTTTGCTAAGTTCAAATCTTAATATTATCACTTATAAGCCAGATGATTTGGAGTAAATTATCTTATTTGCATTAACTATGAATACATAATGTGGAAAGAATTAAATGAGAATATGTAAACTTGCTATCATGAGGTCATATGCAGCAATTAGTAAATGGCAGATTTTAACACAAATTGCATGCATTATTATAGTTTAAGTATTTCTGTTGTTTGATAAGAAAGTAAAAGTAATCGAAGATAAATTACTAAAGTTGATCTAAAGTCAAGAAAGGAGATTTCAGAGTCTATATAACAAATGTCATTTATTTTGGTAGTATTGTAGAATTTATGAAGAAGTCTATCAAAAAATCCAGTCTAATTATATGAATTAGAATTTGGAACTAGAATCAGGAACTAGAATTTGATCACATGGGTGGATTGACCAATTAGGAAGGCTTATTCTGACAGTATGACTGGCTGTAGTTTCTTGCAAGATACAAGGATCAATCATAATTTAATCATTAGGCATTTTGAGGTTTAGTGTGATTCATTTCTTGTAACTTAAGCAATCCAGTAAATCATTGGCAGGATCAAACTCTGACTTCACGAATACCCCACCAAGGCTTTGAGTGTATTATGCAAATGCTGTGCATATAAGTTATAATCTAGAGTTAGTAAGCTCTTTCATATTTTCTTGTTGTCTGGATTTTCATGCAAATTGTGAGTCTACTTTTAATCTCTACATGGTAAATAATCTGATTCAGTTAATTCATTTGTTCATTTGTTTTGGGGTGACAACCACTGAACTCAGAGTCTCATGCATGCTAGGCTGGCATTCTATCACAGAGCTATCCTCCCATCCCCAGGTTAAAAGGTTTTTATTTTACTCTACTGAATAAAGTAAAGTCAAAGAGCATTAGAATTCAAATCTAAGATTCTGGCTTTCATTTAGTACTGAAAGTACACATAATCTTTAACACTTGTTCAAGAAAATGTAAGCAAACAGGATTCACAAGTCATATACATTAACTTGCTCATGAATAGAAAAAACATTTGCACAATCTTGTCTGCTATGGCATTTTAAAACCATACTATGCGGACTGGGGATGTGGCTCAAGAGGTAGCACGCTCGCCTGGCATGCGTGTGGCCCCAGTTCAATCCTCAGCACCACATACAAACAAAGATGTTGTGTCCACCAAGAACTGAAAAATAAATATTAAAAAATTCTTTCTCTCTCTCTCTTAAAAAAAAAAAACCAAAAACTGTACTATGCTTTGTATTCCTCACAGTGTTTTACTAGGAATCATAGGAGGTCCCCAAAAGAATCTGTACAGCTCTCCTTAGGCCCTGTTGGACAAAATAATAGCATCTGTGGCCAAAGCTGGACCCCCTTCCTTGGTGCCCCTCTCACCTCTAAAATACCTAACAGCAGTTCTGCTTTCATCTTTTAAAAATATTAAGCAACTGCCTATGTACAATTTTATATATAAAAAGTATTAAGTACCAAATAAAGTTCAAAAGCAACTAATATGCTATGCAAAAAGTCCCTCTACTGCTTATTCCTATTATAGTTTTCAATCTAATCTTTACGGCTTCCCACTTTTCTGCTGCTCACTATATTACTTATTGCAGTTTACTCTTCTGGAACTCAACAAATTTAATATTTTCTGATATTTAATCACCTTTTATCTGTCTTCATTTGCATCATCATACATATCTATTTTTCTCTTTTTCATAGCTATCTGCCATTCTGCTACTATTTTTTATACTTATTTTGAAAATACACTAATGTCTCAGACTACATAACATTGATTTTGGATGTATTCTGTCACTCACATTTTATTTTCCCTCTGCAAATTTCTAGTCATAACATCATTCTTTCAATTTTTTATTTTTGCTATTTAATCTCAATCCAAGGCTTGGCGGGTGAGGGTTATTGAGTTTTCTGTGCCTGAGAATAGGTTGCCATTCAAACGTTCAGTGTTATTATCTTCATGTGACACCCTGAACAATGTTTTATTTGGTCCAATAGTTTCAAATTTTAAAGTATAATTATTTCCATATTTATTATTATAATCTAGCTTTGAAAGCACTCATAAATCAAAATTTTGTTGGTCATCTCTTATGCCATCTCTGGTTGCTTAGCATGCAAATAATTGTTCAAACAATGGAATTTATTAAACAATACAAAAGTACACATAAGTTAATGAAAATAAACAAGGATAAATATAATTGTGGTCAGAATATATAAAAGGAAAACAAACTGAATTTTAATGTTTTCACATAAAATGACAAAATAAGGCAGAATTAATGCTTAGTCACTGAGTAGATGCAATGATATTAGATTGATATGTATTTTGGGATACAAACGCTAATCAGGATAAAGCTTTCAATGAACTAATCCAATCATAATTTTAAGTGCCTACTCTATATTCTGCTTCACTAATGAGATCACTTGGATCATGTATTATGTAAATAAACACATAATATAAACACATGAAAAAATCCATTCATCTTTCACCTGATGGTGTCAATTAATTATGTCTTCTCATCAGATAATCACCCAGTTTCACTCCAGATGCCATATTCCAGATGCTTAACTAAGTCAAATTATTATATAATTTGTGACTTGTAGCTCTATATCACATACAAATCAATTGGCATGGTCTTAGCTCGGTATGTCCCTACCTGTGGCACACAATCCCAGAGGTGTGCTGAATTCAGTATGCCCACTGCAGAGTGGCACAGTGGTCCGAAAGAACTCAGTCCACTTCTCCTTTATCTTCAATTTTCCTCCCCTTTCTCTAACTCTTTCTTAAACTTAATTCTTTCATTTTTTTTACAAGAATAATACAACTTTTTAACCCTATGCCCTCTCTTATAGCCTTTGCAGTCCCTTTAATTGAAGGAATTTTATATTCAGTTTTTTTAATTCATGTGATGCCTACACTTCTCAGCCACCTAAACCACTCTCATCAATTTTGTTAAATGACCCAATATATCCTAAATCTTTGACTTTTGCTCCTATATTTCTAGGATTCTCTGCTGTGTTTGATATTTGTGGAAACTTCTTTTAAATTTTTCCTTGCCTTTGGTTCCCAGCACCACAGCTATTCATCTGATATCTGGGCATTTCTTGCTCTCTGCTCCTTTATGGGTTGTGCACCTTATAATTTTCTTTTCTCTACTCACCTCTTCTTTCTAAATACATATTTCTGTGAACTCATCTAAATCTTTGGCTTTAGATGTGCTCATGATCCCCCAGTATGTGCTCATGATCCCCCAGGTTGTACCATCTACTTCAAATCCTTCCTTTGAACTACA